CACACAGACAGACACAGACTGCTGAGTCCATACACACACATACTTCTGAGTCCATACACACACAGACTGTTGAGTCCATACACACACACAGACTGCTGAGTCCATACACACACACACAGACTGCTGAGTCCACACACACACAGACTGCTGAGTCCATACACACAGACACAGACTGCTGAGTCCATACACACACACACTGCTGAGTCCATACACACACAGGCTGCTGAGTCCATACACACACAAACTGCTGAGTCCATACACACACAGACACAGACTGCTGAGTCCATACACACACACACAGACTGCTGAGTCCACACACACACACACACACACAGACTGCTGCGTCCATACACACACACACAGACTGCTGAGTCCATACACACACATATACTGCTGGGTACACACACACACACATACTGCTGAGTCTACACACACACACAGACTGCTGAGTCCATACACACAGACACAGTCCATACACACCAGATCCATACACACACAGACACACACAGACTGCTGGTCCATACACAGACTGTTGATTACACACACACACACACACACACACACAGACTGTTGATGCATACACAGACTGCTGGATACACACAGGCTCTGTCCATACACACACAGACACAGATACACACAGACACGAACTGCTGATACACACACACGAACACAGACTGCTGGAGTCCATACACACACACACACAGTGCTGAGTCCATACACACAGACAGACTGCTGAGTCCATACACACATACTGCTGAGTTCATACACACATACAGACTGCTGAGTCCATACACACACAGTGCTGAGTCCATACACACAGACAGACTGCTGAGTCCATACACACACAGTGCTGACTCCATACACACATACCGACTGCTGAATCCATACACACAGACAGACTGCTGAGTCCATACACACAGACAGACTGCTGAGTCATACACACACACACAGACTGCCAGTCCATACACACACACACCGCACAGTCTGCTGGGTCCATGCGCCGCTACACGCACACACACAGACT